TCGTCGCTCTTGCTCGGGTGTGTCGAGCCCGCCAAAGTTGTGCCCGCTGTCCCCGAGGCATACCTAGAATCCTGGGGTCGTGGGTCTCTTCTCTCTTCCCCCCCCTTCGTGCTCGACTTTCCTCCGTTTGCAGCCTGTCTTGCGGCCTGACGAGCCTCCGCGCGTGCTTCGATGTGTTGAGATTCGAAGGAGGAAAAACCATCGGGACCCCAATACTTGGCGTTTACTAGACTATCCCGGAGCTTTACTAAACAGCCCTGCCCTGATCGATTCCTTCCTATGGTGCGTTTACCACACGGCTTCGTTGGTCGGGGTGTTTCTTTTCATGGGGGCGGGGGGGTTCTCTGCTTACAAAATTTATATTGCTACTCGTCCTATGCATATTTCTCGCATCATAGCACCCAGAACCTGTGACATCGGGAGGCCTCAGGAGGTTCCAGAAGGCCCCAGGGGTATCCAGGAGGCAACAGGAAACCCCAGCTAAAGGCACAATGGGCCCTGGGAGGAGGAGGCTGAAGAACGACGAGGAGGAGGGAGGCGGAGTTTGGAGGAGGTGGAATTTGGAGGCGGAGGAGGAGGAGAAGGAGGAGGAGGAGGCTGGAGAAGGAAGAGGAGGAGGAGGCTGGAGGCAGGAGGAGGAGAAGGAGGGGGAGGAGGAGGGGACAGGAGGAGGCGCAGTATGAGGAGTCAGGAGGAAGGGGAGGCAGGAGACAGGAGGAGGAGGCAGGAGGCAGGAAGATTGTACGCCATTTGGGGGGGAATAGAGAGAGAGAGAGAGAGAGAAAGAGAAAGAGAGAGAGAGAGAGAGCGAGAGAAAACAACATAATAAAGAAAGAAAGACAACACAAGACGAAACAGATAAAGAGAAGGAAACAGAGAAAGCGAACGAGGAAGAGAGAGAGAGAGAGTGAAAGAGAGAGAGAGAGAGACGTCCCAGGTGGGGCCATCGGAGGGGACCTTTTTGTCACCGCGGGTGGGTGGGACTAGACCACCCGCGGGCCAGCGACAGGACCCCCCTAGGAGCAAAGATCGTCACCCTCTTCAGGGTCGATCCTCAGGCGGAGAGGCTCTCCAGGCCCACGGGCATCAGCTCCGTTCAACCAGACAGCCTGGCGCGACAGTCCGACAAGCATAGGCCATAGGCAGCTCCCGAAAAGCTGGGGGCTCTCAGACCCTGGGATTTCGCAGGCTGAGACCCAGATTGTGCAACTAAGAAACGAGAACCGAACAGCCCGCAGGCACGGGCCCAAGAGATCTTCTCCGTGCCTGGCCTGCGAGTCTGTTAGGCATCCTTTTTGCCCGACTCCATACACAAACACGCTTGAGCAGAGCCTGGACACCTATCAGACAGCTCTCTGTCACCAGAATGGACGGTCGGATAGCCTCGACAGATCGTTCAGGCAACAACGGAGGAGGCAGGTGGAGGAGGCAGGAGGAGGAGGCTGGAGAGGGAAGAGGAGGAGGAGGAGGAAGAAGAGGAGGAGGAGGAGGAGGAGGAGGAGGAAGAGGAGGAGGAGGAGGGGAGTAGGAGGACGAGGAGGGGGGGCGACCCCCCTAACGCACATGGAACTCCAAGAGACAATGACCCCCCGCCCTCCAGGGGGCAGTCCCGACCTCGGCACCCTCCAGAAGTTCTCCGAGCGAGGCTTCGGCCGCAGCAGAGACCTCAGGGTCGAGCGGAGCCGCTTGAGGAGCCACCGACGCATCGTGACGGCGGGCCTCCTCGATATCACAATCATAACATGAAGATCAAGCGAGGCTTGCGTGAGGCTTTGAGCTCCAACATTGTCAACCACAGTTTTCTCGCTAAAGTATCTGTCCGACCTGGTGAGGCATTCCAGCATACCACATGCAAGGGGCACAGAACCTTTAGCCAACATGACCTCCGACGGGCATGCTTAGCAAGACCTGCACCTAATCTTGCCAAGCGGTCAGTCCCATGATTCCCGGTCCTTTCGAACTCAGACAGTCGACCCTCTCGAATGTCTGTCATCGAAGCATGGGCAGGAACTTGCTTGAAGGCAGCGCTAGCAAGACCGCCAGAGGCAACAACATGCATCCAGAGGTGAGCTGAAAGCGTGCACACAACTATTGCGGCACTGAAGAGTCCCTTCGCAGTCTGTAGAGTGAAGAAGAACCTGCACACAGCTTTGACACGATGAACATAGCATAGTCCTCGCCACATATTGCCACCTTATCAGGGCAGGTGGCTGGGGGGCACTGAACCATACCATTCGACAGTGTAAACCACATGCTCATCAAGAGCAGGAGGAGGCAGCAGGAGGAGGAGGCATGGGGAGGAGGAGGCATGGGGAGGAGGAGGTAGCAGGATGATGCAGGACACGGCAGGAAGCTCGGAGAATGAGCAATCAGGAGGCATGAGGAACATATTGAGGCAGAATAACAAACAATGAGGTAGGAGAAAGGGAGAAACAGGATATTCTAGACACTGTGTATATACATATATATATATATATATATATATATATATGTACGACCACCCGTCGGGTGATAAGGAGGTTGTGTGGGGGGGGGGGCAAGGGGGGGAACCAACATCTGACGACATCGATCTCACTATCGATCTCACTCAGCGGGACACCACGGGACACTTGCCGATCTCACTATCGATCTCATTATCGATCTCACCCAACGGGACACCGCGGGACACTTCTCGATCTCATTATCGGTCTCACTATCGATCTCACTATCGATCTCACTTCTTGGGACACCAGGGGACACCTCGGGGCACCACATCGATCTCACTATTGATCTCACTATCGGTCTCACTATCGATATCACTCAACGGGACACCACGGGACCACGGGACACCTGTCGATCTCAGTATCGATCTCATTATCGATCTCACTTCTTGGGACACCACGGGACACATCGGGGCACCACATCGATCTCACTATCGATCTCACTCAACGGGACATCACGGGACTCCTGCCGATCCCAGTATCGATCTCACTCAACGGGACACCACGGGATGACACATCGGGGCACCACATCGATCTCATTATCGATCTCACTATCGATCTCACTCAACGTGACACCACGGGACACCACGGGACACTTGTCGATCTCATTATCGATCTCATTATCGATCTCACCCAACGGGACACCACGGGACACCGCGGGACTCTTCTCGATCTCATTATCGGTCTCACTATCGATCTCATTATCGATCTCACTTCTTGGGACACCACGGGACACCTCGGGGCACCACATCGATCTCACTATTGATCTCACTATCGGTCTCACTATCGATCTCACTCAACGGGACACCACGGGACCATGGGACACCTGTCGATCTCAGTGTCGATCTCATTATCGATCTCACTTCTTGGGACACCACGGGACACTTCTGGGCACCACATCGATCTCACTATCGATCTCACTCAACGGGACACCACGGGACAGCACGGGACAACTGCCGATCTTAGCATCGATCTCACTCAACGGGACACGCCGGGACACCTCGGGGCACCGCATCGATCTCAGTATCGATCTCACCATCGATATCATTCAACGGGACACCATGGGACACCACGGGACATTTGTCGATCTCACTATCGATCTCATTATCGATCTCACCCAACGGGACACCACGGGACACCGCGGGACACCTCTCAATCTCACTATCGGTCTCACTATCGATCTCACTATCGATCTCACTTCTTGGGACACCAGGGGACACCTCGGGGCACCACATCGATCTCACTATTGATCTCACTATCGGTCCCAGTATCGATCTCACTCAACGGGACACCACGGGACCACGGGACACCTGTCGATCTCAGTATCGATCTCATTATCGATCTCACTTCTTGGGACACCACGAGACACATCGGGGCACCACATCGATCTCACTATCGATCTCACTGAACGGGACACCACGGGACAGCACGGGACACCTGTCGATCTCAGTATCGATCTCACTCAACGGGACACCACGGGACACCTCCGGGCACCACATCGATCTCAGTATCGATCTCACTATCGATATCACTCAACGGGACACCACGGGACCACAAGGGACACCGCGGGACACCGCGAGCCACCGCCAGACGGACGGACGGACGGGCGGGCGGGCGAGAATCATTTGTCTTGACTTCGCCCTAGCAACGGCGGACACCACGGGACACCACGGGACACCGCGCGACACCGCGAGCCACCGCCGGACGGGCGGGCGGGCGAGAATCATTTGTCTTGACTTCGCCCTAGCAACGGCGGACACCACGGGACACCACGGGACAACGCGCGACACCGCGAGCCACCGCCGGACGGGCGGGCGGGCGAGAATCATTTGTCTCGATTTCGCCCTAGCAACGGCGGGTTCATTCCTTCCGCGCGCCCACGCAGCTTCGCAAACGATTTCCTGGTTAGGGGTTTCAGTTCCACTGCAATATCACCCCCCAACCTCCGATTCATGCGGGGTCCGATCCTCGGGATAATGTTATATTGTTTTATCACTCCGCTGATTGCTCAGCATCAGCATCAGTATCTTCTCTTCCCTCGTCCCCAGAAATCCGGCGCCTTGACAAACACTGGGGCGAGCCATCTCCGGCCTCCAAGAGCTTTAGACGGCTCGAGCCCCAAAAATACTTCAAAGGCTACCTTGATTCATGTTTCTACCTTCTGCTTCCAATCCGACGAGGGCGATCGTGAAGGTCTCCGGGGGCTGACATTGACAGCCCATTTTCTTGGACCCTCGAATCTCCTCCTCCCCCTCCTCCTCCTCCTCCTCCTCCTCCTCCTCCTCCTCCTCCTCCTCCTCCTCCTCCTCCTCCTCCTCCCCCTCCTCCTCCTCCTCCTCCCCCCACTCGCATGATGACGAAAGGATCCCGGCGGGACCTCCAACCAGGGGCCCCGCTGAGAGGCCCCACCGAGGAGGCCCCCCGTGCTCCGTTCCACCCCCCCTCCGCGCCTTTCTTGCAGACGTTGCCCTCGCCGTCGTCCTCGCCGTCGTCCTCGCCATCCGGGTCGTGGTCCGCCAGGGGGCGCCTCCAGCGCCTCGGGGATGTCCAGGATGTGCAGCGCCGCGGCGCAGGCCGCCTCCCAGCAAACGCCCGTCGCCCTCGTCGTCGCCGTCGTCGTTTTCGTCGTCGTCGCTCTCGTCGTCCTCGTCGTCGTGGTCGTCGTCCGTCGTCTGTCGTCCAGCCATTGGAGTATCCGCAGGAGCTGGACGAGGGCGAGGGCGAGTGGCGGCAGCATGGGGGGAGGAGAGCAGGAGGAGCAGGGCGACGAGGATGAGGAGAATGACGGCGGCGGCGGCGACGACGGCGAGAACGATAGCATCGACGACGGAGGCGACGACGACGACGACGACGACGACGACGACGGCGACGGCGACGGCGACAGTGGCGACGGCGACGGCGACGGTGGCGACGGCGACGGCGACGGTGGCGACGACAGCGATCACGACGGCGAAAACGGCGGCGACGGCGGCGGCGTGCGAGCCGAGCCGCCGCCGGGCAGCTCCCCCCCCCGCGCCGCGCCAGGCCGCCACGAGCTCTGGGGCGACGCCCCGGGTGGCCGCACTCGACCCGGTCTCCCACCCGTGGCCAGGCGCGGACGCGGGCGTCGCCGTTGGCGTCCTCGCCCCCCCCCCCCCTCCCTGCCGCCGCCCCCGCCACCCGCCGCCCGCGCTCGACCCAGTCACCCACCCGTGGCGACGCGCGGGCGCGGGCGCCGCCGCGGCTTTTTTTGTTGTTGGAGAGGTACAAGCAGTCATGCTGGCGATACGTTCCAAGATTTGCCAGTGAAACAGGGGTCCCAGAAACGCGGGCCGCTTTTGGAATGGGGGGAAGACAAAAACCCAAAAAATCTGAGAAACAGATATGGGGAATCCTGTTATTTGTGCCTTTTTATTCCCTACCTAGGCTCTGCCTAAAAGGGTTCTTACTCTCTTGGCTTAAAGGGCCGGGCAGTGGGAACCGGCCTGGGCGGTTCCCCCAGTATCCGCCCCGCGGTTACCGTTGCGCACCCTGGGTTCACCCAGCTTAGCTTAGCTAAGCTAAGCTTAGCTTAGCTTATCTCATCTTAGCTTAGCTTTGCTTTGCCTAGCCTAGCTTAGCTTAGCTTAGCTTAGCGTAGCTTATCCCATCTTAGCTTAGCTTATTTTAGCTTCGCTTGGCTTAGCTTAGCTTAGCTGATCTTAGCCTAGCTTAGCTTTGCTTAGCTTCGCTTAGCATAGCGTGGCTTACCTTAGCTTAGCGTAGCGCAGCGCAGCATAGCGCAGCGCAGCATTAGCACCGCATATCATAGCATAGCATAGCCAGTCATAGCATAGCATAGCATAGCTCAGCATAGCATAGCATAGCATAGCTCAGCATATCATAGCATAGCATAGCGCGGCATAGCATAGCATAGCATAGCATAGCATAGCATAGCATTGCTTAGCATA